ATTACTATCCCAGCATTTTTTGTTGTTTCCATTTGTATAAAATATCTTTATCCATCCCTTTACTCTCATTTTGTGTATGTCTTTCAATCTAAAGTGAGTCTCTTATAGGCAGCATATGTATGAATCTTGTCTTTTAATCATTCATCCACTTTATGTATTTTGATTGAAGCATTTAGTCCACTTACATTTAAACTAATTATTGACAGGTATATAGTTATTGCCATTTTATTAATTATATTCTGATTTTTTCTAGTTCTTCTCTGTTCATTTCATATTGTCTTATTCTTTTCTCTTTTATAACTTTCTATAGTGTTATGTTTGGTTTTCTTTCTTTGTTATAAATTTTTAATAAATTTTTAGTCTGCAGTTACCACATGCTTCAAATATATTGTTACATTTATAGTGGTCTATTTTAAGTTGATGGTTGCCTCATTTTTTTTATTTATTGATTTTAAAGAGGGGGAGGAGAGAGACGTCATTTTGTTGTTCCACTTATTTATGTATTCATTGGTTGACTCTACTATGTTTCCTGATGGAGATCAAACACACAGCCTTGGCATATCTGGACAATGCTTTAACCAGCTGAACTACCTAGGCAAAGCAATTTTGAATATAATCTAAAATCACTGTCATTTTTACTTACCCCTTCATCTTTATGTTTTTGTCATTATTTTTTTACTTCTTTTGCATGTGTGCTTGTGTGTATCCCTTAATTTATTGTTGTAATTACATTATTTTTGTCTCTCAACTTTTGTATTAGTTTTATAGTTGGTTGGTTCACTGCTTTTATTATGTGTGAGCCTTTGTCAGTGAGAATTTTTCTTTCTTATACTTTCTTATTCATATCTTTTATCTTTTCTTCAAGTCCTTTTAATATTTCTTGTAATTATGGTTTACTGTGACCTCACTTTTTTTTTCATCCTCACCCAAGGACATGCTTATTGATTTTAGAGAGGGGAAGAGTGGGAAAAAGAAAGAGAAACATCGGATGATTGCCTCTTGTACATGCTCCAACCAGGGACCAAACCTGCCACCTAAACACATGCCCTGACCAGGAATTGTACCTATGACATTTCAATTTATGGCACGACACTCCAACCAACTAAGAAATACCACTCAGAGCTACTGTGATCTCACTTGTTAATGGATATAAGAATTGTTGATTTTGCATTTAGTTCAGATTTTACTTGTTGTTCGTATGAAGTGGTGACTTCTAAGTTCATATGCCAGACCAAAACATAAAAGTCAAACAGTTTTCTTTTTGTAAGATTTTATTTATTTATGTTTAGAGAGAAGGGAAGGGAGGGAGGGGGAGGGAGAGAGAGAGAGAGAGAGAGAGAGAGAGAGAGAAACATCCATCAGCTGCCTCTCACATGTGCCCTGACCAGTGATGGAACCTGCAATCCAGGCATGTGCCATACCAGGAATCGAACTGGTGACCTTTTGCATTGCAGGACCACCCAACCAACTGAGCCACACCAGTCAAATCTTTTCCTTATACTCATAAAAGTGATAAAGAATATGGCAGAAAATGTTTATTTTACTCTAGCCCACTCCATTTCATTTTTACTCCTCCATCTCCATTCATTTCAGAACTGAATTTTGCCCTCCCTACACATTCACTTTAGGACTACCACTTCCAGCCTCACTCTTCAGCCTCTATCTTACAATTCATCCCTCCAGCCTCTCACTTCTATCCTTAGTGCTAACCCACTTTTCAGAAAAGATAAGGTCACTCCACCTCTTGGTATCACTATGATCTTGGTGAATACCTATAGCCTGATTGCTGTATACCAGTTGTGAGAATTAGTGACACATCAGAATAGTCTGGCAGCCATGCTGGGCTCTCCCTCTAACTGGCATGCTTCTCAGAAATGATGAAGCAGGGAGCTTAGCCTACTAGCAAAGAGATGCAGGCTGCAGCAGATCCTTATGGCATCCCTCTCTAAATGCAGGTGGGAAAAGCCATTGTGTGTACACATCCTTGTGCAGACTTCCCACAAGCCTCCAGTAAAACTCAAGTATATGAAGTAGTGGTTATCAGAATATCCAGTTCCTTAACTATACCATTTAACAAACTGCTGCTATAATTAAGTACTGTGTTCACCCTTTCCATTTTCCACCAGATAATCTTGCTAGCTCCCTGCTGTCTTAGCTTAAAATTAGAATAATTTTAAACATATTACATGTTTTTATTATTAAATTAATGCATGTCATTGCAGAAAATTTGGAAAAGACAGAAGTATAAAGAAGATAAAAATCACCTGTGTGATATTGTGATTTAAGACGAATATGTATTTGGTCTTCTTCCATTTCTGGTACAAAACTCCTGAAACACTTGGAACTTCCTAAATGAGGAGAGCAATAAAGTTGTCTTTTATTATAATGAGGTGACTTTTGGACTGCATCTAAGGATGGGCACTAGTTGCCAGTAGAGTCAATCTTAGTGTGATTAGAGGGTTGGAACTTTCAGTCCCCCATTTTCCTCTTTCTCCCACCACCTCCAAGGAGGAAAAAGGAGCTAGAGATTTAATTCAATCACCAATAGCCAATGACAATTAATTATGCACATGTAATGAAGCTTCCATTAAAACTCAAAAAGACAGGGTTGGGAGAGCTTCTGGAGTTAGTGAACCTGTAGAGATTCGAGGAGAATGGTGTTCAGGGAGCATGCAAGTTCTGAACTCCTTCCCACACACCTTGACATCTCTTTCATCTCACTATTATCTAGTAAGTAAACTGTTTTCCTGAGTTTGTGAGCCACTCTAGCAAATTAACCAAACCCAAACCAGGGGATCATGGGAACCTCTAATTTATAGCCAGTTGGTCAGAAGCACAGGTGACAAGCTGGACTTGTGATTGGCATCTAAAGTGAAAGGGAGTCTTAATTTTCTTTTTATCTTCACCTAAAGATATTTTTTCATTGCTTCTAGGGAGAGAGAGAAACAATCGACATGAGAAAGAAACATCAATTGGTTGCCTCCTGCATGCTCCCAGATCTGGACTGAACCTGCAGCCTAGGCATGTGCCCCAACTGGGAATCAAACTTGCAAGCCTTCTGTTACAGGATGATGCTCCATCCAACTGAGCCACACCAGCAAAGGCTGAAGTGAAGGATAGTCTTTTGGGTCTGAGCTCTTCACATGCGGGGTATCCAGACAGATAGTGTTAACTTAAATAAAAGGCCTTTCAGAGTGAAAGGCAACAAGTATTTGAGATCAATAAGAATAACTGCTCCCCTGGCTGGAGTGGCTCAGTGGATTGAGTGCCTTTATAACAAACCAAAGGGTCACCAGTCTGATTCCTAGTCAGGGCACATGCCTGGGTTACGATGGTCCGAGGTCCCCACTGGGGGATGCACAAGAGGCAACCACACATTGATGTTTCTCTCCCTCTCTTTCTCCCTCCCTTCCCCTCTGTCTAAAAATAAATAAATAAACTCTTTATAAAAAAAAAAGAATAACTGCTTTCTTGTTATCTTTTTTTAGAGATTTTATTTATTTATTTATTTATTTATTTATTTATTTATTTATTTATTTATGAGAGGGGAAGGGAGGGGAAAAAAGAGAAGAGAAGCATCAATTGGTTGCCTCTTATAAAGTGCCTCAATTGGGAACCAAACTGAAACCCAGGTACGTGCCCTGACTGGAAATGGAACTGATGACCTCTCACTTTGCAGTATGACACCCTACCAAAGGAGTCACACCAGTCAGGGCTTCTTGTTATCTTTTCAAAGAAATTTGCGGGGCACATGGTTGTGTAGGACCTATCCAAATGTTATTTTGCCTTTTTTTTTAACAGTTCAAAGATTTGAGGAATAAAATACAAGGTATTTCTTCCAGCATGGCAACTCCAGCTCCATTTTAAAGTAGCTCCATTTATTTTATTTTATTGTTTCAATTTGTCCTCCTTTTGACCAAAATCTTTACTTTAAAGTATTGCTGATCAATCACTGGAAAGCAGTACTGAGAGGTTAGTAAAAGCATCATAGTCAGGTAGCTCATTTTGGGTATGTAATCCGGTTGTTGGTTCCTCATGACCAGGAAGGTTCATTTCCAGGATGTCATGTCCCACAAAGGGAAAGTAGTTTTATTTATTTATGTTTTGGGGAGCTTTAGGCCACATTTGAACAACAAGAACACCAGAACAGAAGAAGGCTTTATCATCATGTTTTTTAAGGGCAACGTCAGTAGTTTTTGAGGTTTCTCATACGAAAAAACTAATAAGATTTAGTGATCATCTCAAAATGTTGAGCCACCATTATCAGAGTGCTGTCTTTATAACATCGAGCTATATAAAACAAACAGTAATTTATAACAGGAAAAACATCTATAATTACAAATAAAAGGTTCAGTTCAATTTGAAGAACAGACCTGATCTAAGGAGGCAATACCTGAGGGCACTTAGGTGAAGATGTTAAAGAACCATGAGATATCAATGGTACTGTATTCAATCATTTGTGCCTAGATTTTATGTAGTTTCATCTTTAATTTACCAGGGGTGTTTTATCCAAGTACAAGAGGTATTAACAACAGAGCAAACTCTACCTTACTTACCAAAGATATAATTAAGAGCAACTCTAATTTATATAAGAGAATTGACAGATTTTTTCCTAGTTGGCTATTGCTGTGGTGGTTATTGCAAGCAAAAAGTAATTTTTTCAAATCTGGGAACATTATTGAGGCTGATATCTCCAGGCATTAAATAACCCTGACTATGTGTGTAACTAGCTGTACATTTTGACCTGTGAAGTAGGTTTAAAGATAATGCCCAATGTTACCTTTCCAGACAGAAATTAAAGAGAAAGGGGAAACAATAGCTATTATAATGAGTGCTTTGCCTCTAATATTTTTTGTAAGGCAGGAAACAACTAAAGTAAGAGGCAAATAAAGGTATAGATTATACAGGCCTTATCTGAAATCTTGGGTTAGGTGTCCACAACAGATGTCATCTGCTTCATTTCCTAGTAATTATAAAATTTCACTGTTGATTGAGCAGTCCAGTTAGGTAAAAGAGCTTTCTTTAAATTGGGAAACATGAATCCAAGAGTCAACACCTTTAAATTTGGTCACAGAGGGATCAGCTAAGAGTACCTGAAATTCTGGAAAAGATAAATGTTTTCATTTTATTTACAAAGGTATAATTTACCAAACTGCTGTAAATTGCTGTCATAGGTAGTTGGGGAGGAAAAAATTCTTATATCTAGAAAGCAAAGATCAAAAACCAGTAACACTTACTATAAAAAATGTCTAAATTTTTATTCATCTTTAATGATATGGTTCACTTAGTACCATATCATTAATTCTTGTTGATCTTGATCTTTTTGATGGCAGTTTTTGAATCCAGTTTTCCCTTAGAGTTCTGTAGCTCTTTACCCAGTTTAATGGTATGATCTAAAAGTTAATTAGAAATCTGTATTTTAGTATCAGAGTCTTCTCTCTGAATTTCTCTGAAGATGAAACATCTCCATAGAAACATTTTTGTAAAATCCTCAGAGTAAACAGTAATTATCTGTAAATGATTAAAAAGTACTTAAAAATGGCTATGGTTAAAGAACTGGTGAGAGTTCACATACATACATAACATACATAAATACATACATACATACATATAAATAATGCAATATATTTAGTTATCCATTCCAGTCTTAAATAGTTTGAGCATATATAAAATTCTTTTCTCAAGATCACTCCCCCAAGAAGGTTCTGCAACATACATGAACCTTTTAATTTTGTCCTATCTCCTTTTTATTTTGAAACAATTGTTTTATTTTAGGATGAAACTATTTTCCTTTTTCTACTAAACTCCCTCTCCCCCAAAAATTCCTGTCCTTTATATTCTTCCCTCAACAAAAGTATATCTCCATACCTTATACCTTTCTCTACTAAAAGCATATTTTCCATACACAGTCATTTTTGTCTTATTCTAATTATTTTCTTGTAGTTTTGTAAAAAACCATAGCTCTTTTACAAATCAGTTTTGGAAAGGGAACTTATACAGCAGTCTGCATTTATAAAAGGCATCTTCTTTTTCCTTCAGTCTTTGCAGGCAATGTTTTGGTTAGTTCCTCTGTGTTTACATTTCAAAAACAAGATAAGAGTTACAACTTTTAGAGACAGAGAAAGACTAAGTTTTTTAGCATGATTTATTTGACAATGTTTCCTATGTAAATTAAAATACCATATATACATTATTAATGTAAGTTCCCCTTTTATAAAGAGAGAGAATAAATCTTTGAAGTGTTTTAGGGGTCCTTTGAAAAATTACAAATTTCTTAAAAATCTCAAAAATCAAAAAAATGACTACTTTTGAATCTTAGGAACTTTATCAGATATATCAAAAGTTTTAAAACATTTGTTCAAATAATTTCATCAGTCATTGTAGAACAATATTTAATAAAATAATAATTACCTATTTAACTAAAATGACAATAAAATATTTAAAAGACAAATACAGAAGTTTTCATAGTTGTAAACAAAATTTTAGCTCTTTTAATAGGAGACTCAGTTTTCTTAAGCAATCAAAGACCTTATGATAAAGGGTACAGGAAATTATTTAAATAAAACATAAAATCTTTGTTTTCCCTTTATAATTTCTTATTAATGGCATACTAGTAATATAGAAAATTTTTGTTATTTTAACAGAGAAATAATATTAAATTTTAGCTTTACATAAGCACATCATTGATATTAAAGCTTAATTTAATTTTTTTAAAGATTTTATTTATTTCTTTTTAGAGAGGGAAGGGAGGGAGAAAGAGAGAGAGAGATAACGCCATGTGCGGTTGCTGGGGTCCATGGCCTGCAACCCAGGCATGTGCCCTGCCTGGGAATCGAACCTGCGATGCTTTGGTTCGCAGCCCACGCTCAATCCACTGAGCTACACCAGCCAGGGCTTAATTTAATTTTTTAAAAACACTAGCAATAACAATTTAGTCATTTAACTTTAGTCAGCTTAATTATAAGAGGTAAAATTCTCTTTTCTCTCTTTCCATTCTGAAATAACCAGGAACAAATTATTTTCATCTCCCTTAATGAAAACACCTCTCCATACCTTATGCCATCTATTATTCAAAACACATATTAATTCTTTCACCCTGGCCAGGTAGCTTAGCTAGCTAGAACATCATCCCATACATCAAAATGTTGTGGGTTCAATTCCTGGTTAGTACACATACTAAGTTATAGATTCCAACCCTGGTCAGGGCGCATGCGGGAGGCAGTCAGTAGATGTTTCTCTCTCTCTCCCCCTCTCTCTCTCTCCCCCTTCCTCTCTCTAAATAAACATATCCTCTGTCAGGGATTTTTTTTAAAAGAGATAAAGTACATATTAATTATTTGTATATTAATTAGAGTTCTTAACCCTCAGAAACCCCAATTTTAGTGAAACCAAAAGTAAACAATTAGCATTAGCAAATTTATGAATATTTTTTGTAATTCCTAGAAACATGTGCTCCCTCACTAGCAATATATTTTATAATTTTTAGGAATATATGTTTCTTCAACAAAACACATTTTTATTAATCAACCCAACTATAGTTTCTCCCATTAAAAAAAAAAGGTAGGTAAACTTAGATTCATTTGGCAATTAATGTTTTAGTATTTTATTTTACTTGGAAATAATCTAGATATTCAATAATTTTCATCTTTTTAACTTAGCAAAATTCTAAGGTTTGAAGTTACCAAAATTTGGGAGACTATTTTAAAGTGCACATACCATAAAACAGAGCCTCTGGCCAAGATGGAGGCATAGGTAGATACATTTCCCTTCTTGCACAACCAAAAGAATAATAACAAATTTAAAAACAAAAAACAACCAGAACTACCAGAAAATTGCACTGTATGGAAGTCTGACAACAAAGGAGTTAAAGAAGAAACATTCATCCAGACAGGTAGGAGGGGCGAAGATGGGCAGCCAGGGCAGAAAGGACACATGACAAGGTAGCAGCTGGCAGACCAAGCAGTCCCACATTTGAGTGCAGATAAACAGGGAGGAGCAACTGGGGAGTGAAACAGACTGCACAACTGAGGGTTGCATCACAGGGAAATGAAGCCTCAAAATCTCTGGTGATAAAAACCTGTGGGCATTGTGGAGGCAAGAGAAACCCCCAGTGTCATAAGAAAGTCTACCAGATGGGCCCACAAGGTTCTAGAACATACACAAGTCCACACCTCCATGGGAATCAGAACCAGAGAGTTGCAATTTACTTATGTGGGTAGCAGGGGAAGTGAGTGAAAGCCAGCAGAGAGCCAAGCAACCAGCATTGTTCTCTCTCTGATCCCTCCCCCACATACAGCACCATGACACAATGATATGAGTTGTCCCACCCTAGTGAATACCTAAGGCTCTGCCCCTTATAACATAACAGGGGTGCTGAGACAAAGAAATATGGCCCAAATGAAAGAACAGATCAAAACTCCAGGGAAAAGAACTAAGCAACAAAGCGATAGTCAAAGCGAGGGGGGGGGGAGGGACTGTGCAACCCAGGGCCACAACACAGGGAAATAAAGCTTCAAACCACTCATTGAAAACACCTGTGGGGGTTGAGGTGCCGAGAGAAACTCCCAGCCTCACAGGAGAAGTGGTTGGAGAAACCCACAGGCTCCTACAATGTACATAAGCCCACCCACATGGGAATCAGCACCAGAAGGGCCCAATTTGCTTGGGGGAAGTGAGGGAAGTGGGGGAAGTGACTGAAATTGAGGAGAGAACAGAGCAAGCGCCATTGTTCCCTCTCAGACCCCTTCCCCACATAAAGCATCACAACACAGTGACATGGGTTAGTCCACCCTGGTGAACACCTAAGGCTCTGCCCCTCACTACATAATAGGCATGTCAAGACCAAAAAAAATGGCCCAAATGAAAGAACAAATGAAAAATGGTCCAAATGAATGGCCCAAAAAAATGGTCGAAAAAATGAACAAAAAAATAACCCAAATGAAAGATCAAGGCTCCAGAAAAAATACAACTAAGCAATGAAGAGACAGCCAACCTATCAGATGCACAATTCAAAACACTGGTAATCAGAATGCTCACAGAATTGGTTGAATTTGGCTGCAAATTAGATGAAAACATGAAGGCTATGCTAAGTGAAATAAAGGAAAATGTATAGGGAACCAATAGTGGTGGGAAGGAAACTGGGACTCGAATCAATGGAGTGGACCAGAAGGAAGGAAGAAACATCCAACCAGAAAAGAATGAAGGAACAAGAACTCAAAAAAAAATGAGGAGAGACTTAGGAACATCCAGGACATCTTCAAACGTTCCAATATCTGAATTACAGCGGTACGAGAAAAAGAAAAAGAGAAAGAGAAAGAGAAAGAGAAAGAGAAAGAGAAAGAGAGAGAGAAAGAGAAAGAGAAAGAGAAAGAGAAAGAGAAAGAGAACAACAAGTGGAGAAGTTATTTGAATAGATAACAAAGGAGAACTTCCCCATTCTAGCAAAGAAAATAGATTTCCAGGAAGTCCAGGAAGCTCAGAGAGTCCCGAACAAGTTGGACCCAAGGAGCAACATACCAAGGCACATCATAATTAAGTTACCTAAGATTAAAATTAAGGAGAGAATCCTAGAAACATCAAGAGAAAAGGAGACAGTTACCTACAAAGGAGTTTCCATCAGACTGTCATCTAATTTCTCAATAGAAACTTTACAGACAAGAAGGGGCTGGAAAGAAGTATTCCAAGCCATGAAGGGCAAGGACCTACATCCAAGATTACTCTATCCAGCAAAGCTATCATTTAGAATGGAAGGGCAGATAAAGTGCCCAGATAAGGTCAAGTTAAAGGAGTTCATCATCACCAAGCCCTTATTATATGAAATGTTAAAGGGATTTATCTAAGAAAAAGATAAAAAATATGAACAGTAAAATGACAGCAAACTCACAATCATTAACAACCACACCTAAAACAAAAACAAAAACAAACTAAGCAAACAACTAGAATAGGAACAGAACCACAGAAATGGAGATCACATGGAGGGTTATCAACAGGGGAGTGGGAGAGGGAAGAGGGGGGAAAGGTACAGAGAATCAGTAGCATAGATGGTAGGCAGAAAATAGAAAGGGGACAGTAAGAATAGTATAGGAAATGTAGAAGCCAAAGAACATATGTATGACCCATGGACATGACCTAAAGGGGGAGAATGTGAGTGGGAGGGCATGTGCAGGGCAGAGAGGAGTGAAGGGAGGAAAATGGGACAACTGTAATAGCATAATCAATAAAATATATATTTTTAAAAACAACAAAAATACTTATCATTCTTTGAAATATCTCATCAGCTCAGGCAGGACAAACAGTAAGAAATTTTAAAGTACCTACTCAGCCAAAAATTATTTCATTTTTTAGAAACTTCTGTTTATCAGTTAAAGAATATATTTCATTGTGCTTAAAAGTT